TATATATATATGTATATGTGTGTGTGTGTGTGTGTGTGTGTGTGTGTGTCCAGCCTCCTCAGTTGATTACAGTTCCTTTGCAGACAGATGCAGCTCCTGGATAGAGCAGCTTAAACTGAAAGCTCACACCATAAGACGCGGATCGGTTAAAACAAGTAGGAGCACACACGCAAACTCGCTTACATACACAGACATGCACAATCACATAGACCCTAGTTGGAGTAGTCTGCATACTTAAAAGGATCTTTAACTTTAAGATGAAATCAAAATGGGCCCTTAATAAAAAAAAAAAAAATTTCTTGGTCTTATTATGTTCATTTCATAGGTGCACATTATTCCAAATTCCACTAAAATAATACATAACACATACAAAACACAAAATATATATATTTTAATTAATATAATTTTTTTGTGTTTTGTATGTAAAACAGTATGGAAGTAAAATGGTTTAGGAGTATGTTTTCATTTTGGTGTTCCAAAAGTTAAAATTTTTTGGTGAATAATTTTATTTGGTGAATTATTGATTTTTTACATATTTTATTTAATGTGAACGGAAATGGGGCTCTGGTTCAATGTGTTCAATATTGTTTTAAAGTCCTCTTAACACAGCAGTATGACATTATCTTCTAACCCTCACAGTCTATTCATTAAAAATCTAATTTAAAATGGCATCTACTCTGACTACAGTCTATACTTCTTCACGCATCCTTACACACACATATTCCCATGTCCTGCATCCAAAAGTGGACCAGTCTTGCTGCCATATGCCGATCCGATCAAACATGATTAACAGAGTGTGAAAGTTGAGGTTGAGTCCTAGTGAGGAACCAAGATGACGCTTTCAGTTGTGCCTCAGTGATTTCATAATTGAGCTTGCTGATGTGATGAGTATGAATAAAGCACAGACCAACTCTGTCATGGTCCCATGCAGAGTAACATATGATGCATTGATACATCATAAGTATGGCTGTACAGTTTGTACAGTTCAGGGCTGGGCATTATGGCAAAAAAAAAAATCTCTTTTTCATAATATATCTCAATATTTATGTAGATGCTGAAATATCAACTCAACAGCCACTGAAATCATTGCAGTATTCACTGTGTTGCTTTATTGTATGCCGTCAACAAAATAATCACATTAATATCACCCAGCCCTAATTCAGTCCACTGACAGATAGTTTGAGCGATGTTTGGGAGCTGCATGCGCATTAGCGCTCTGTGTAACAGTTGTGATGCAGCGTCATGTATGATGTATTACAGCTTTGAGATTGAGCTCTTTCACACTCTTGATGGAAAAAGTGTCCTCCCGCTTCAAAGCTCATCATCCTCTGATTTATCAAGGCAGACTGAACATGCGTGCATTCATTCTTTCTCTCCTCCTCTGTCTCTGTATTTGCATGCTGTTTATTTGCATGGTGCAGTACTGTTGCTTTGCTTTGATCACATGCTGCTGATCTGCAACACACAAATGCACACATGCCCTTTCCTCGGGCACACTGTCTCGTCACATCCGTTGGTCTTGTACAGCGCCCTCTGAAGGCCATGTCTGGTATATTCCACCCCCCTCTATCTTTTCTCTCTACCCCTCTCTCTTCTCTCTCTCTCTCTCTCTCTTACTCTCAACAGCATCATCTATGGAGAAGGCCAGCCCGTTGCCTGAAGGTCGCTCTCGTTCTCTTCGGTCAAACCGTTCCTACTCGGGCAGTTCTGTCGCAGTGGTCAAAATGACCCCGCTCTCTTTCATTCCTGGAGCAAAGATCATCAAATACCTTGGCATCATCAACATGTTCTTCATTAGGGAGACCACCTCACTCAGAGAGGTAGCAGTCTCACTGTTTTTACTACCATAAATCCCTATTCAGACTCATTCACTTCACACACATTAAGACATTTTCTGCTGCTTCGTATTATTATTATTAATAAATAATAATAATAAATGAAACAGAATATAAAATGTTTATAATATTAATGCAATTAAAATAACTGATATCATATAATATTAATAGTAATAACAATAATAAATATTATTGGTGTTTAATTTTTTTATTAATGCTATTACACAATTAAATATATTTAATCATATAAATATTATTCAAATGAATTAGAATTAATAATAGTAATGAAAATTACAAAAATATTTTAATGTTAATATTAGATATTTTATAATATTGCTATGAAATAAAATATTGAAATAATAATATTACAATTAATTACAACTATTAACATAGTAATTAAATTATTGTTATTATTACTATTTATAGTTTAATAATAATATTAAACATTTGTGTGCTATTAAAAATTGTTATTCGTATAATAATAAACATGATTAATATTAAGTATTTTAATAATATTCTTTATTTTATTTTTTTTAATAATTACAATTGTTAACATTAATGGAAATATTGGTATTAATATTGTTGTAAATTGTTATTATTATATAATAAGAAATATTATTATTAATAGTATTAATATTATAAAATTATTTAGCATTAAATGAATAATAATAATAATAGCAGTGCAAAATATTGTTAATTTTAGTGTAATAAATATTTTAATAATATTAATGTTTTTAAAAGTCATTACAATTAGTAAATTGTAATTAATTTTATATTCTTGGTATTAATATTATTTAGTATTAATGTCACATTGTATTTTTACTATTAATTTTTTTTTCTTATGTTTTAGGAGGGAGGTGTAAGTGGGTTTCTGCATACGTTTATTGCTGAAGTATTTGCGATGGTTCGCGCCCACGTCGCTGCTCTTGGAGGAAATGCTGTCGTCTCCTACAGCATGAAGGAGTGTGTGTTCATGGAGAATCCTAACAAGAACCAGGTTAATACATGCACAGTCACACACACTCATACACACTCAACCCATCATGTTTGTTCATTTATGCTCGTGTTGTATTTTACAGGCGCAGTGCCTAATTAATGTCAGTGGGGACGCTGTTATTTTTGTCCGAGAATCTGAACTCGAGTTGACTTCGGTACAGCCACAGTCAGCCACAACACAGACCTCCAACGGTGGGGAAGGAACGTGAACCCACATGCACACACAGACAAACTCTCAAGTAAACAAGTTTTAACATGAACCATGCCATTTGAAGCAGTTTCACGCTGAATCTACCAACCAAATCTCCAAAAAGAAGCAAAAAATATAGACCTCATTGGTTGGTTCTCCCAAGTGTCATATTTTAGATCCTTTAAATTGCCAATATTTGGTTTTATTTCAGAATATTTTTAAATTCCTCCATCGGAAGCCTTTCAGAAAGGTCATCTGCCATGTTTCTATGTATTGGCCATTGTTGTTCACATTCCATTTTGTCCATATGTGGTGGAGGCAGCTACCAAATTCAAAAGGTCTATAAAATGCGTCTTTTGTGTTCGCAAAGAGTGTGTAAATGCGTCAACGACTCTCTAAATGGCCGTGTTTTGTATTTAAATGAAGGTATAAACTACTGATGCACTCGCATGGACATCCAGTTCATGATTTTAAATACTGGTTTCAAATAAGACACTTCCTGTCATGTCCTACTGATCTCTTTAGAATCAAGTCATATGCTGGAAACGATTGTTTGCTTTCATGTGCCACAGTGTATGCGTTTATTTAATCATAATGTTTGGGTCGGACTTCTGCAAGGCTGGCCTGATTTTTTTGCATGTGCAATGCCAGTTAATCATTAAGAAAAAAAGATATTTTAGGGTGGAGTTGTCATTCACCATGGACTGACACTTGAATGTACAGATGATGGGTCTGGATATGAGGTGGACGACTCTGCTCCTGCGTGGACTGACTTTTAATGCTGTTATTTTGTATATGTGTTTGCCTGAGGACAAATCAAAATCGCACATTAATAAGATATAATTGAATAAAACTATTATTGCTCTGATGTGTTTAGTCCTTGTTAAATTGTTCCGTTTTTAATGAGTATATTTATATATACATATAATGGTTTTCTCAAGTGAATTTCATTTCTCATTATGATCTGATCTAAAATATTATAACTGCGATCAATGCAGAATAAGTTGCCCAAAAGACAGTTATATTTGATTTGTGAGCAAGTGCCTTTTTAATAATTTTTTTTTCTTGGTAAAGCCATGAACACACTAAATAATTATTCCAATCTGAGCCGCTAGTAGACGCCAGACATTAAAAATGCACTTCCTAATTCTGAGCTCACATCAGTATTCGAAAAATCTCTACACTTCTAACAAATGAAACGATCTTAAAAAAATAAATAATAATATTTAACAAAAAATAAATGCGAGCGTGGCTGATATTACCGAATCCAAAAGCTTCACTGGTAAATAGTAATTAGGTCATGTTGATTTTTATTTGTCAGCCTTCCGAGATCGTCCAGGTAAGTACACAGCCTGCTTAATATTCATTAGACGAGTCCAAAGTCTGCCTTTCAGCCAATCGGCTGCACTCATGGATGAGCGTCTCTGACGTAATTCACTCCAGTAGAGCTACTAGTACTAGATCTACTAGTAAAAATTGGTTTTCTAATGATAAAGTTTTGGTGAGCCAACTCTTCAACCAATAAGGACTTCTGTTAACTTATTCTGAATTTTTGTCTAAATTTTAAATCCCAATCATTCCTAAAGAATACACTGTAGTTATGGATGCTGTCCCCTCTGGTTTAAAAATGTCCTCTTTGTAAAAAATACATGTCCCCCAATCTTCTCTGCAGTCTTTTGATCCTGTTGACACTGCTGTTGGTCGAGTTTGTTTTTCTTCTTTTTCTGTTAAACACAATAATCGACAGGTTCGGGCCCTTTTTCAAAGGGATGTTGTCTCTAGACCTCCTAGTGTAACTTTCTGGAATAGCTGTGTTGATGGTTTGATGTGGCATAAAATCTGGAAATCACCTCATAAATATTTAATCACAAATAAAGTCAAATAAATTTCTTTATAAATATTACCCCAGTAACTTTTTCCTTGTAAACAGATTTAACTGTGATATTGATACACTATGTACATTTTGTGGTCTACATACAGAAACGTTTTTTCATTTATTTTGGAGTTGTCCTTACTCAGTCAATTTTGGTCAAATTTCTGCTCATTTGTTAGAGATCATATCATGCCCAGCTTTCAACTTTGTTTTGAAAATGTTTTTTCACTTACGACATGTCATTCCATAAGGAATATTATTTGATTAATTTATTACTTTTGCTGGCGAAGTTTAGTATACATAAATGCAAGTACGGCAATTATAAACCATTGTTTCTCATTTTGAAATCAGAAGTTAAACAATACCTAAAATCAATTTACAATTTGATAAACAAGAAAGCTGTTAAGTACGGAAGTTCTAAGCGGCTATGCATTAGTTATGTCGATATAACGAGAAAATTAAGTTGTTATAACGAGAAAACAACTCTCGTTATGTCGATATAACGAGAAAATTAAGTCGTTATAACGAGAAAACAACTCTCGTTATGTCGATATAACGAGAAAATTAAGTCGTTATAACGAGAAAACAACTCTCGTTATGTCGATATAACGAGAAAATAAGTCGTTATAACGAGAAAACAAGAAGGAAAAAAAAATAATGCATGGCCGCTTAGAACTTCCGTAGTTAAGTGTATTAATGTATGTAAACATTTCCATGTTTTTATGTAATTTATTTTTTATTTTCTCTTTATTTCACTAATTTTGTATCTCTTTTTCTTTGTGTTCACCCCCTGGCTACTGTAAAGTGTTGAATTTGAGTGATTCAATAAATAAAAAAATAAAAAAACTAGGTTTACTAGTACAGCAAGGAGTATTTAATGCTAAAACGGCTTGCCATAGTATGGATCGTTCCCTGCGCTGTCGTAATTTCCGATTTCGCCAGGTTCTCTAATCCATATACTAACGTACACCAGTCAACCAATCAATTTCACGTCCCCGAGCGTGACGTAATTAATATTCATGAGCCAATTCTTCGCTATAGTAGGATTCGTTTGCAAACAGCGCGCTTCTCCGTTCCTGCACGTCAGACGTGTCGCTCAGTCAGTTCTGTGCATTCAAACCTTCCTGATCTCCATCTTGAGGAGATTCCTACTCCATCTGTTTTCTTTTAGGAGTTTATTGTACACATAATGGGAGAAATAAGGTTGCCGAGGCACATGTTCTTGTGGTGTCTGTCTGCTATTTATATGTTTGCCTTCGCGTCTCTTTACGTACAGATTCCAGGTGAGTTTAGATTTGTTTAACTTGCATGTAACGTTATTGAACTAACAGCACAAGTTCATCAGTGACACATGCGGTATTAAATGTCTTGCAGAACTGTCTGTGCAAAAAAAAAAAAACTCAGATTAGATGGAGCATGTTGACGCCTGTTCAGAAAAACCCAGACTGTAAAATCTAAGAAACTAGCCTATATTAAAGGGGTCATATGATGCGATTTCAAGTTTTCCTTTCTCTTTGGAGTGTTACAAGCTCTTGGTGCATAAAGAAGATCTGTCAAGTTGCAAAGACTAAAGTCTCAAATCCAAAGAGATATTCTTTATAAAAGTTAAAGTTAAAAACCACGCCTACCTAAAACGACTCGTTCTAACACGCCCCCACATATCTACATCACGATGTGGGAAGATTTACATAATGCCGCCCAAATGTGCACGCAAAGAAAGAAGGCGTGGTTTCAGGAACAGCAGTAGTGTTGATGCACCCTGTTGAAAAAAACAGCATATGCTGGTTAGGTATGTTTTGATGTTGGGATGCTGGTTTAAGATGGTTTAAGCTGGTCATGTGCTGGAAAATGACCAGCTTAAACCAGCATCCCAGCGTCAAAACATACCTAACCAGCATATGTTTCAACAGCCATGTCAGGGAGACGCTGTGTGTTTCAGTGTGAAAGCAAAAGCACTTTATGTGTGCTTGTGGTGTTCGGCCAATCACAATGCACTGGGTCAGCTGGCCAATCAGAGCAGACTGCACTTGTCAAAGGAGGGGGCTTTGTTGAAAATGATGCGTTTGAGAGAGGCGGGGCATAGAGGACCTACAATAATGTACAGTGTTTGAAAAATAATGTGTTTTTTGAACATTAAAGCATGTCAACATATTCTGTTACACCAAATACACAAAATAATGATCTTTAAAATAGCATCATATGACCCCTTTAAAATCTGGGAAGTCTGAATATTACAGCCTTAAGAGGAAATGTATTTCATATATCGTATTTTCATATATACTTACATAAACATAGGAGCCTGATATATATATATATATATCCTACCAATATTTGTTACTATAGTATTATAGCATATATACTATAATTGTTTTTTGTTTTCGCAATTTACCAGGGTATTGTCATGTATTTTTGTGTAAATTTCATAGTGTATGAATATAGTAATCATTAAGTGCCATGTAGGGTCCAAAAGTCATATAAACACATAAACAATGTGGAACCTGAAATCTGGAAATAAAGTTTTAGGATTCTGGAAAATCTAAAACTTAAAGTATCACTGTGACATAAAATGAATCACTTTTCAGATTCTGCACCATTTTTAGGTCACTAATCAAAAAGCATTTTGCGGCATTGACAATGAGTTCTCTCTCTTTGTCTTTAGGTCTGTACGGGAACGAGGGTGTGCTGCCGGCGCGGTGGCAGTTGCGGGTGTCTGGGAAGAGTGTTGTGGAGCAGCTGAAGGATTCTCCCACCCTGCTGTGGTTCGGTCCTCGTCTGGGTTTGGACACGCAGCAGTGCATGGAGCTGCTGAGTCTGACCGGAGCTCTGCTCAGCTTAATGACTCTGGCTCTGCCGGTACTCAGAGACTGCAGAGTCTTCCTGGTGCTCTGGATACTCTATCTGTCCCTCTACCAGGTACAGACTCCGTTCACATACAGCACTGATAACACTAGTGTAGTGGTAGACCAATATGTGGTTTTCACTGGCTTGTGCAATATTTAGAGAACAGGTGGCCTATGGCTGACAGCAAAAAAATAAATGCTCATGGTTTTTTTCCCCCTAAAACTTTTATTAGTAAAAATTAGTATCTGAAAACTCCTTGAACCAGGTCATTGGCTGATGCTGATAATCAAAACAATGGCCAATATATATTACAATACATAGTTTTTAATTGCATACATTTTTAAATACATATTTACATAATTCATATTTTTAAATGGATTTTTAGAAGTATTTTAAATAATTTAGTCTCATTTGCTATCTTTAAACTGTATTGAATGTAAAATGTAATGTAAAATTCTCAAAAGATATATAATTAGTAATATAATTATAATACAAAGGATATATATATATATATATATAAATAAATAAAATAAAAATATAATTTTGTCTATTTTTAAACTGTATTGTATCATATTATATTTGCAATATATCCAACCTGCTATCGACCATTACCTCAAATAACCCATACTTGTTGATCGATACTTATCACGAATACTACTTATCAAGGGTAAAAAAATGTGATATTAGAAGTTAATGTAAAAGATACTGAAATGTAATGCTTCTTGTTTCTGTAGGTGGGCCAGGTCTTCTTATACTTTCAGTGGTGAGTATTAGATTTTCTGTCAGTGTGTGTTGCTCGTACACCACCAGATGTTTTATTGATTCACAAATGTTCTTATTCCCCAAATTATGTCTGTTATGTAACTGTCTATGGCTTTGTTTAACTGCTTGACCTTGAGAGACACTCGGAGTGTTATTTACAGTAGTCTCACTTCTGTGTTAATGTGAAATGACTTCAGCACATCAGAAGCCAGAGTTAGAATGTGTCAAACATCTTGATCTCAGGGATAACCTCTTGCTGGAGATGGGCTTCTTGGCCATTCTCATCGCTCCCATGAAAATGCCCTGGTCTTCAAAGGTGCGTCTCCATGACAGCGTGACTTTCTGGCTGGCGCGCTGGCTGTTGTTTCGGCTGATGTTTGCGTCGGGTGTCGTTAAACTGAACAGCCGTTGTCCCACCTGGTGGGGCCTGACAGGTGAGGAATCCGCTGAGATTTGTAGATTTTATTTGTGCCAACATTTTCTGGATTTGCTGCTGAAAGGTTCAGAATAATCCTATTACACTAAAAACAACAGTATGTGTTTTTACAGTATGTATTCTGCATGCACAAAATACTCAAATGGCATGTTAAAGCACAGTGTGAGATACAGTGTCCCACAATGCAGTGCTCTCAGGTTGACCGTTCAGTTCCTGCATGACAAATGAAATGGAAGCAGAATCTTTTTCTCTTTTTTTTTTGGACTCATTGTTTTTTTTATGAACCACTAAGGAATGCATTTTGCGTAACAATCGATTTTTTAAAAATTCTTAAATCTTCCTCAATTAAATTTACAGTGTAGTGCGTTCATGTGATCATAATTTATTACAATCTTAAAAACAACAACAACAAAAAACGCTATTTTAACATTGTTTTTCTTTAAAAAAAATAATAATAATGGAAGAATAAAGATAAAGTCGAAATGTCATGGATAAAATATGTTATAGACTGTAAGTAAATATTTTATTTGTCTTTATTTGTAGGTAGACTAATTGAAAATAATGTGTTCCATGATCATTTGGCTATATTTGGATTAAATATATCAGTCTATTTCACTCATCAGTCCAGTACTAATGACATTAAGCAGTTGCATTTATCACCGCATCTCAGTATGACTGCAGAATATTGTATTGTATTATATTGTGCTAGATTGAAATGTTTAATGTAACAAAAAATAGAAAGCAGTTTATGATAACCAGTCAGCAGTTTTAAAGCATATCTGAAACATTACTATTTATTTAAAAAAATGTCACTAGTTTGAATAGTTGAGAAGATGGCCTGGTTTATTATTTTTAAGACTTTTATTTGTAAGCCTAAATGCATAATGTTTAGGTAGCTGATGCCTCTATTCTGGAATTTAAAGTGAATTTTGTTTACTTATTTTTTATTTCTTTTGTTAGTATTTATGTATTGTTGGTGTATATATATATATATATATATAGAGAGAGAGAGAGAGAGAGATGTTTATTTACACATTTATTTTTTACATCTGTTAAAAAAGCAGCATGCTAGTATTCCACTCTAATCATTAGCCTTAGTTTATTTTTGCACATTTTACTCTAATTTAAGTTTAAGTAGTAAATCCCATGAAAGTTTTGACAGTGCTGCCACTAGACATATGTATTGCTTTTATGATGTCTGAAATAAAATATACACATCAAATGATTCATGTCAATTCGCCGTCAAACACTATGTTCTGTTATTGTCTCGTCAGCTTTGACCTATCACTATGAGACCCAGTGTATACCGACCCCGCTGGCCTGGTTTGCTCATCAGCTGCCGGTGTGGTTCCAGAAACTCAGTGTGGTGGGAATGTTTGTTATCGAGATCGCCGTTCCCTTCATGTTCTTCAGCCCCATACGAAGACACCGACTCGTCGCCTTCTACATGCAGGTGAGTGAGTATGTGTGTGTTTGATCAGAAATAGAGAAGTTGCCCTGAGTTTGTGCATTAATGTGACAACTTGGTGTGTTACAGGTTCTGCTACAGTTGTTCATCATCCTGTCTGGGAATTATAACTTCTTTAATATTCTCACCATCACCCTGTGCATGTCGCTGCTGGATGACCAACATGTGAACTTCTGGCTCCGAAGATCCACGCCAAAGACTGAGAGCAGTATGGACACACTTACATTACACTAAGATGTTTTTGAAAGAAGTCTCTTATGCTCACCAAGGATGCATTGATATTGTGCAAGCAGTAATATTGTGGAATAATATTACAATTTAAAATAACTGTTTTCTATTTGAATATATTTAAAAATGTGATTTATTCCTGCGATGTAAAGCTGAATTTTCAGCATCATTACTCCAGTCTTCAGTGCCACATGATCCTCCAGAAATCATTCTAATATGCTGATTTGCTGCTCTGGAAACAATACTTATTTTTTGTGCTGCCTCATGTTTTTGTATTTTTTTTTTTATGTGCAGTTTTCAAATACTGCATGATGACGGAAATGTATGTTGTGGCCTGTTAGGAATAGGATGAGATGTGAAAACCAGGTCCAGATGGCCGTAACTCATTCTTCTTATTGTTGTTTTCCAGCATCATTCCAGACTCTGTTCTCTTGGTTGGCTGTGATGTTAGAGATCGGCACATGCGCTCTGCTTGGCTACTGGAGCGTCAGATACTTTGACCTGCAGGTGGACTGGGAAAATAAGAGCGTCTCCTCCAAAACAGGTGAAGCTTTTGACTTTGTCTTATTCAGTTCACTTGTTGTTCAGTGCCATTAATCTGTTTTCGTTTCCTCAGGATTTACGTATTTTGAGTTCAACGGCTTTCTAAAGACGGTCACGGTGCCTAGTATCTGGATTGGCGTGCTGTCTCTCACATGGGAGATCATTTCTGCCATGTTTAAGTGAGTGGTGTGGGTTAGTTTTCTTCTGATTTGTTGGCTCAGTATGTCCTGGTAGAACAGATGTTTTTGTTTCAGGTGTGCTTTTGTGAGAGGAGTGTTGTGGCGTCTCTGGAACACAATCCAGTGGGCGGTTATGGCTGCGGCTACAGTCTCCATGTTTGCCGTCAGTCTGGTCAGTAAACTTCCTGTCTCTGCTATTGTAGTGTCATTATTATACGTTTATAGTATTTCTTAATACTTTGAATTTTCTGTTTTAATTAAAGTTATAGTCATTTTGTTATGTTTTTGGTTGTTTTTAATAGTTTTTCTAAATATGTCCATTTCGTTTTTATTTTTAGTACTTCAACATAAAATAAATGAAAATGAGAAATTTTGCCTGTAATAAAATAAGTATGCTTTTTTATGTATGTTATTATATTTCTATTAATGATTATTTTAGTTTTATTTAATATCAACAGCACTACTTCCTGTTTGTGTGTCCTTAAAGGAAAGTTCACCCAAAAATTAATATTACCCTATGATTTACTCACCCTCAAGCCATCCTAGGTGTATATGACTTTCTTCTTTCATACGAATACAATCAGAGTTATATTAAAAAATGCCTTATAATGGCAGTGAATGGTGATCAAGATTTTGAAGCAAAATAAAGTGCATCCATCCATCATGAAAAGTGCTCCACGTGGAGTTTTGTAATTCGCAGTTAATAATTAGCATTAGAAAATCATGCCTTCCACATTTTTGTCAAAATCTCATTCATGTTTCCACATGTTCAAACCTTAAACCTTATAACAATATACATGAGAACTTCACTGTGTACTTCAAACATAGTACACGGAATTCTTTCTTTCTTTTTGTAAACTGTCCCTTTAAGTTATGTAGAAATAATGGCTCTAATAATGAAGTGTGTGTGCAGGTTCCCTACACCTACATTGAGTATGATGCACACAGTAACCTCTGGCCTGGGATCCGGACAGCGTTTGAGGTGACCGAACGTTACCAGCTAGTCAACTCGTATGGATTATTCCGGAGAATGACCGGGGTTGGAGGCCGTCCAGAAGTGGTCATTGAAGGCAGTATGGATCGCAACACATGGACGGTCAGTTTACAAGTACTTGAGGAAGTGCTTAGTGTCTGAATTACAGCATTGCTTTGTATGTGAAGGAGATAGACTTCATGTACAATATGAAAACATGTCAGAAAAAGCCCAAAAGGTCTGAAATACTGGCTAGTAATTGAGAAGTTGTAGGTTCAAACATTGAATTAAAGGGGTCATATGATGCTTTTTTAAAGATCATTATTTTGGCATTATGCTAATATTTCCACATAGTGATGTAGATATGTGGGGGCGTGTTAGAATGAGCCATTTTAGGGGGGTGTGGCAGAGTCTTAACTTTGATAAAGAATATCTCTTTGGTTTTGAGACTTTAGTCTTTGCAACTTCAGGGATCTTATCTATGCACAATCAGCTTGTAACACTCCAAAGAGAAAGGAAAACTTGAAATCGCATCATATGACCCCTTTAAAGAAATATCATCTGACCAGGATCTTAAAGATGACATATGTAGATTATTTGTGGCAAGCAAACTATTCAGAATCTTTTAAAAAAAAATGTATGTATATACACCAGCTTCAAGGTGAGGTTAATTATTCAGTTGGTTTAAATTAAAACTAGCTACATTTACATGCACCCAAGTAAGCTGTTTTTCTGTAATTGAATTGATGGCTCAGTAGGATTGAAGAATGTTCAGAAACTAAAATTGGTTTGGATTAATACGGATTGAAAAAAAGTAGTACATGTAAACATATCTACTGTAACTCTAAATATATATATA